TGTCAGAGGAGAGATTTTAGTGTTATCAAACCAGGGAGAGATAACACAATTTAACCTGCAAATCTTCTCCAGCACTTAACATCAAACCACGCTGAGAATCCTGCCAAACCAAACCATGCTGAGAATCCTGCCAAACCAAACCATGCTGAGAATCCTGCCAACCCAAATCATGCTGAGAATCCTGCCAAACCAAACATGCTGAGAATCCTTCCAAACCAAACCATGCTGAGGATCCTGCCTAACCAAACCATGCTGACAATCCTTCCAAACCAAACATGCTGACAATCCTGCCAAACCAAACATGCTGAGAATCCTGCCAAACCAAACCACGTCGAGAATCCTGCCAAACCAAACCATGCTAGGAATATCTTACCAAATCAAACCATACTGAGAATCCTGCGAAACCAAACCATGCTGAGAATCCTGCCAAACCAAACCATGCTAGGAATATCTTACCAAATCAAACCATACTGAGAATTTTGACAAACCAAACCACGCAGAGAATCCTGCTAATCCAAATCAAACCCAATCATATTTTTTAATCAAAAAGAACCAAGATTTGTTGTAAATCAAACCTAACTTTGACAAAAATTAATCACGTCGCCTCGAATTCAATTCCAAGTGCAGAGACCAAATTCAATTCAAAATATTAATCGAAAGAATTTACCTTTAGCAATGGCGGCCAAACCAAACCACTGCATGACAAGAAATAAATATTGTCATCGATTTAATCAATATGAGTTCAGAGTCCAACATTTCAGACTTCTAGAAGTGTACACACTTCATGTTTCCATTTATTTTTTTCTACTCTGATTTCTTAAAATTATATCAGAAGATTGAAAGTGAAAAAAAATATTAAATTTATCTTAAATATATTTGTCTGTCTGAAATGTCGGACTCGGACCGCTAATGGGCAAAAAGAGAGTTGAACCGAGCATAGAAGAGTATCGTTCATCATCGACCAGTAAATCAAATCTAAACAGCAGTCAGCAGGTCTACTACTAATCCTTATTTATTACAGGGATCAGTACAGAATAAATAACAAGCATGAAAATAAAGAGGAACGTTAAAATAATTTACTTTACTCCATTCTCCTGCTAAACTCAATTTTATCAAGAGTATTTGAACAATTGTCTAATGTTAGACTTTTAGTATAGTTTAGTGTTATTATTATCATTTAAATTTATTTTGTAAAGTTTCTACTCTAAATGCTCGTAATTTTTAAAATATGTTTTTTATTTATCAATTCAATGTATTTCAATTTTCAAACTTGTTGCCTTTCATTGCCTAAACTTAAAATATTCTGAATTTGGTTTGTTATTATATTGCTTGTTATTCTTATTAATATGTATTGTACTGCAGGTGCCTATGGTACAGTGTACAAGGTTATTAATATGTATTGTACTGCANGGGGTAGATGAGGGGGTTGACGGGGAGGGGATCACGACCTCAATATCAATAAAGAAATGTATACAGTATAACACACGTGAGGGTTAAATTTTCAATTGTTCAATGATTTATGTTTCAACTTCAATTAGATATATAATATACTAAACACGAAGTATTGTCGTAAAATAAATCCATTCAAAATTAATTTCATCAAACTTATTACATTTAAAAGTGTTTGTTGTATTTGTTTCGAGAATGACATGGTTAAACTATATTCAACGCTGTTTAATAAACTTAGATCACGTTGAAGTCTCTAGCTAACTGAACCGAATAGAACCAAATCATGTATACGAATTTTACAATAAAATCCAGAAAGCTTTCCATTTTCCAAAATTGCAGAATTCAATTGAAATTGAGCTTAAAGTAACGAAATCTGCAATCATTGTAAAACTAATAAGGTTGCAAATATCCATCTTGAAAATTATGAGAGGTTGTAAAACCTGGAAAAAACAAGAATTGTGTGTTTATATGCGTTTTTGTGTCCCCCGTCCTCTACACTCTGTATTTTATGCTAAAATATAAAATCACGAAACCTCTCCAGCCTGGACTAACAATCAACATTCCACAGTTAAATAACATTTTCTAAATTATATAAATCCATTGATTCATTGATTCATTGATTAACCGAGGCAACAATAAATTAATCCGGTTCCACATTTAATTAACATTTAATTCTTCAGATTTAATTACTTTTCATTCTCCAGATTCTCGTGTACAACTACAGGTTCTTTTTCGTCAACAATAATAATTTTTGAACTTCGTTTTATAAGAAAAATTTATCATTTTGATTCATTTGTAAGATGCATTAATATTTACAATATGCCTTTTTCTTCCTTCTTCCTCCACGAACCTTATTCTCATTCATATTCATCCTAGCTAGCCACCATATTCATCCTAGCTAGCCACCATATTCATCCTAGCTAGATATCATATTTATCCTAGCTAGCTACCATATTCATCCTAGCTAGCAACAATATTCATCCTAGTTAGCTACCATATTCATCCTATCTAGCTACCATATTCATCCCAGCTAGCAACCATATTCATCCCAGCTAGCAACCATATTCATCCCAGCTACCTACCATATTCATCCTAGCTAGCAACCATATTCATCCCAGTTAGCTACCATATTCATCCTAGCTAGCAACCATATTCATCCCAGTTAGCTACCATATTCATTTCCAAATGAGAATTAATATTTATATTGTCTTGTCATGCAACTTCTAAATACGGTTCATATATAAATTAGATTTCGTTAAACATTCCTTCCTTTTTCTTCCTCTTCTTCCTTTCCTTCCTTTCCTTACTTTCATTTCTTTCATCTCTTTTCTTTCTTTTCTTTCCTTTCTCTTCTTTCTTTCCTTTCTTTATTTCCTTTCTTTCTTTCCTTTTTTTTCTTTTCTTTCTTTCTTTCCTTTCTTTCCTTTCTTTCCTTTATTTCTTTTCTTTTCTTTCTTTCCTTTCCTTCCTTCCTTTCTTTCTTTCTTTCCTTTCTTTCATTTCTTTCCTTTCTTTTCTTTTCTACCTTATCTTCCTTTCCTTTCTTTCCTTTCTTTCCTTTCTTTCTTTTCTTTCCTTTTTTCCCTTTCTTTCCCATCTATTTATCTATCTATCTATCTATATATCTATCTATCAAACTATATATCTATATATCTGTATATCTATTTATTCATATATCTATATATCTATTAAAAGTGCTAGACTAAAATATCTATATCTAACTATTTAAATTGTGTAATCACATAAGTCTCCACCCCCCTATTTGGAGATTTGTGTCGCCCCTGGACAGAACCTTTTGTTTTCTTGGCCTTTTACAGGCTTTTACAGGTTGCAGGAAAATTATTAAATCAATCACTGGCAACTGTCCCTTTAAGCAGGGATGTTATTACTTGTAATGCTCCTTTAAGAGCAACCGACACAATCTTCAAGTAATCATTATGAACACATTCTATACTGTAGGGAAATCAAGGAAAATTCGGGAAATCTGGAAAAAGCAACTAGATTATCAAGTACAATAGTTGGCAACAAAGAAATGGACCAATTATACACGACGTCACAAGTGTAGGGGCAGATGTGCGTGATATGAAATAGTTTAG